CCACATGACTGAGCAACTAAACAACATGATATTAGCTGGGGCTAGTATATGGTTAGTCACCCAGCCTGTGACTCTCCCCCGCTGCCCCTCAAAACTTCTTTCTGTGCCTTTTAGAACTCCTTTCTAAAAAATCAACTGTCTTCCTCCTACACCTAGCACCAAGGCTCCTGTCTCCCTGGGTGGGGGGCGGGGGACGGGGGTGCAGGGAGGGGTTGCTAAACCTGCTCCCACAGACACACTAGGGTGGGGAATGGGGTTGGACCCTCCTCACCTGGCTTCCAGACACCCTTTCTCAGCAGGTGTACACATCTCTGCTGCTTCAAGACCCAGGCCATCCCACCTTTCTCATCCTCTGCCCACCTCAAGGTAGCTGTGGCCTCTGGATCGTTTTTCCTTCTTCACTGAAAATGTTGGCATCTTCCCTTCTGCCCACCCCAAATTCTGAGCTCATCCTGGCCTTCGACTTAACAAAACATCAGTGCCTCTGCTCTCCCACCTCTGAGAACTTCAGCACTCAGCTCCACCATCCTCTCCACGCATAAGCTTTCTCAGCACTCCCTGCTGCCATCTTAAAACACTTCTGTACGGAGATACTCGGCTCAAGTCGGTCAAAAAATCTGCCTGCAATGCAAGAGACCCAGGTTTGATCCTGGGTGGACAATATTCCCTAGAGAAGGAAATGGCAACCCACTCTGGTATTCTTGCCTGGAAAATCCCATGGACAGAGGAGCCTGGTGGTCTACAGTCCACAGGGTCACAAGAGTCAGACATGACTTACTTTAGTTTTAGAACTAATACTTTACATATGGGGCTGGCCAAAAAGTTCATTCAAGTTTTTCCATAACTATGATGAAAAACCCAAATGAACTTTTTGGCCAACCCAATACCATAAAATTCATCTTTTTAAAGGGGGGTTTGGGGGAGAATTGATACATATATATGTATGGCTGAGTCCATTCCTGTTCATCTGAAAGTATCACAACATTGTTAGCTGGCTGTACCCCAATACAAAATAAAAAATTCAAAACAAAAAAAAAAAAACCAAATAGACTGACCAAAAAAACCCAAAAAACAAAACCCAAAACCCATCCTTTTAAAGCATATAATTCAGTGGTTTTTATTTTAATCTCAAGGTTTTACAACCATCACCTTATCCCAGAATATTTTCATCAACCAGGAGAAACCTCATACTATTAACAATCACTCTCCATTACCCCCTTCTCCCCCAGCTCCTGGCAACCACTAAACTATTTTCTGTCTCTATGGATTTGCCTATTCTGGACACTTCATATAAATGGTGGGGAGGGGGCTTCCATAGTGACTCACACGGTAAAGAATCTGCCTGCAATGCAGGAGACACCAGGTTTGAACCCGGGGTCAGGAAGATTCCCTGGAGAAGGGAAAGGTAACCCACTCCAGTATTCTTGCTTGGAGAATTCCATGAACAGAGAAGCGTGGTGGGCTACAGTCCATGGGTTCGCAAAGAGCCACATGACTGAGCAACTAAACAACATGATATTAGTCCAAAAGAGTCGGAAACAACTGAGTGACTAATACCATATAAATGGAAACCTGTAACATGAATCCTTTGTGTCTGGCCTTTTTCACTTAACATAATGTTTTCAAGGTCCATCCCCATTGCTGCACATATGAGAGATTCATTCCTTTTGCTGGCTGAATGATCCATCATATGGATACACCATGTTATGGTCCGAATCTCGTGTCCTCTCCTCTCTGGGTTCGTATGTTGAAGTCCTAACCCCCCAGTGTGATGTCTGGAGGTAATCAGGTTTAGATGAGGCCATGAGGGTGGAGCCCCCATGGTGGGGTGAGTGCCCTTACAAAGAAAGGAAGACACGAGAACTCACTCTCTCTCTCATCTGAGGATACAGTCAGAAAGTAGCTGTTTGCAAGCCAGGAAGTAGGCTCTCACCAGAAACCAAAAGTGTCAGCAGCTTGATCTTGGGCTTCCCAGTCTCCACCACCATGAGATATAAATTCCTGACATATGTTTTCATTTCTCCTGCATATACATCTAGAAGCAGAATTGTTGGGTCCTATGGCAACTCTATGGTTAATTTTTTTGAAGAATGACCCAGACTATTCTCTATTATCGCTGTATCATTTTACATTCCTACAAGTAATGGAGGAGGGTTCCAATTTCTCCACATTCTTTGTTGTTTTGTTTTCAATTTCTCCACGTTCTTTTGTTGTTGTTGTTTCCAATTGCTCCACATTCTTCTTTTTGTTGTTGTTTTCAGTTGCTCCAGATTCTTGCCAATGTTTGTCATTGTCTGTCTTGTTGACTATAATCATCCTAAAGGGTGTGACTGTGGTGTCTCACTGCAGTTTTGATTTGCATTTCTGGATGGCTACTGATGTCAAATATCCTTTCAGTGGCTTATTGACCATTTGTATATCTCCTTGGGAGAAACTTCTATTCAGATCCTTTGCCCATTTCAAAACTGGGTTGTCTGTTTACTGTTGAAATGTCTTGTTGCCAAGTCGCTTCAGTCGTGTCGACTCTGTGCGACCCCATAGATGGCAGCCCACCAGGCTCTGCCATCCCTGGGATTCTCCAGGCAAGAGTACTGGAGTGGGTTGCCACTAGAGTTGAAATGTCTATTATCATTTAAAGATGATCAGGACTTCCCTGGCAGTCCATGCTTTCACTGAGGGCTCAGGTTCAATCCTTGCTGGTAAAGAATCCACCTGCAATGCCGGAGACACGGGTTCCTGGGTCGGGAAGATCCACTGGAGAAGGGATAGGCTACCTACTCCAGTATTCTTGGGCTTTCCTGGTGGCTCAGCTGGTAAAGAATTTGCCTGTAGTGCAGGAGACCTGGGTTCAATCCCTGGGTTGGAAAGATGCCCTGGAGAAGGGAACAGCTACCCACTCCAGTATTCTGGCCTGGAGAATTCCATGGACTGTATAGCCCATCAGGTTGCAAAGAGTCGGGCATGACTGAACAAATTTCACTTTCAGGGGAACTAAGATCTTCCAAGCTGTGTGGTGTAACCAAAAATAATAATAATAAAAAAATAAAGATGCTCAAGTCTCTACCATTTTAAAGCAAACAAACCCTTGGCCAAGCCTAGATTCCCACCTCAGTCACTGTTTCCAATTTTTTGAAAGAGTTCTCTCCATTTGTGGTTTCCACCCACTCTCTTTTAAAGCTATTACAGTCTGGCTTCTGAACACAACACTGCATTGAAACTGTTCTCAACAAGGTCACTAGAGCCTCTTCTGTTACTAAGTTCAATGGACACTTTTTGATTCTTAGCTTGTTTGATTTCTCTGAGGCATTTAATTCTGCGTCCCTCTCCACCTTTATTGAAAGGCTAGAGATTCTTGGCTTAATGACTGCACATGCTTCTGATTCTTCTCAGACATTTCTGCCTGCCATTTCCCCGCCCTCCCATTTTCTCAATGGGTTTCTTATTCCACTCATTCTTAAGTCCTGAGGTTCTTTGGGAATTCGTTCTCAGTCCTCTAATTTATTATCTTTACATGATCTCACTGGGCAGCCACATTCAATCCCATGGGTTCAACGACCATTTAGCACTGTTCACTCTTAAGTGTTATCTCTGTTTCCTACCCTCCTAGGCTTCCAGTTTGTACATCTGTCTAACTAACATCTCTACTTGGACTCATCTCCATCCTGAAACTTTACATGTCCCACACCAAACATTTTATCTTTATCTCTCTGGCCTTCCCTAGCCCAGTGAATAATATCAATCACTAAACTCTGCTGATTAAAAATGTTTAAGTCACTCAACATTTGTCTTCTTCCATTCTCAAAATCTGTGCCCTAGTCTGGTACCTAGTCTGGTAACAAGATGTCCCCAACATAGTCTTGACTGGTCTCCCAGCTCGGTTCTAGTCTCTGAACTGTTGTTGTTTAGTCCCTAAGTCATGTCCTATTCTTTTGTGATCCCATGGACCATAGCCAGCCAGGCTCCTCTATCCATGGGATTTCCCAGGCAACAATACTGAAGTGGGCTGCCATTTCCTTCTCCAGGGTTATCTTCCCAACACAGGGATCAAACCAGTGTCTCTCGCATTGCAGGCGGATTCTTGACTACTGAGCCACCTGGAAAGCCCACCCACTCAGAGATCTTTCTGAGATGCGAATCTCACAGCGTCATTCCTCTGCTTAAATGAGCTATTGTAAGAGCTGGGATTACACTTGCCGTGGAGCCAGACTCACTAGGGTTTCAGTCTGCACACCATTCGCTCACTGGCTGCACGGCTGTAGGAAGAGTTACTTAACTTCTCCATGTTTTAGTTTTCTTATTTAGAAAAGGTGCTGGTGATGGGGTGGGGGCACGGCAGTGGCAAAGTACCGTCTCGTGGTTACGCCGGAAGGTTCAGAACTTGAACCGTGGAGCCCCTGGATCAGAGTTGGGCACATTTTATGTGCTCAGTACATTTTAACTAATGTTTTTATTAACATCTTCAATACAGGCAAATCAATGAACCTCATTTTCACCCGAAAATGAGGGGGTTAAACGAATGACTTTAATAAACTCTTTGGTAATCAATTGCAGCTCGCTCGGCGCTGGTCCCTCAGCTCCAGCGTCGAGAAAGTATTCCGGGAGGGAGCAGCAGTGGGGCGGCTGGCGTTCGGGAACACGGATGCAGGAATCGGTGCGGCGGCCCGGGTCCCCGCGAGGAGCGCCGACTCAGGGCTCCTTCCCCGCCCCCGCCCGCCCGTTACCCCGGCGACAGTCCCCGCCGCCCGGCGCCCCGCGGCCCGGCTCACCGCACCTGCAGCCAGAAGTGCGCAAAGCCTTTCCCGCAGAGCCCGCGCCCCCAGATCACAAACCACAGGGGCAGCCCTGCCCGGCCGCTTCCTCCCGGTCCCCGCAGCCCACCTCGGGGCGGCGCCCACCCCTTCCTGTGGGCCCGCGGCGGCTCCGGGCAGACGGAGGTGCCGGCCCCGCCGCTGCAGGTCGGCCGCCCGCCCGGCGCGCCCTCCCGCAGGCGCGGCGCTCACCTTGAACGACATCTTGCACATGTCCGCGGCCGCCCCGCCGGGCCCCGCGCGCTTCCGGCCCGGACGTTCTGCACCGGCCTGCCTCCCTCCCTCTCCCGCCGCAGAGGGGCGGCCTCCGCGGCGCCGCGCGCTCCCGCCGCCGCAGACCGGGCCGGGCCGGGGTGGGGGAGGAGGGGGAGGGATGAGGAGGAGGAGGGGGTGGGAGGAGGGACGGAGGAGGGCGAGGGAGGGGGAACGAAGGAGAGGAGGGAAGGGGCACCCCCTCAGACGACCCTCCCCCATCCCCCTACCCCCATCCCCACCCCACCCGCACCGCCGTACCTACCACACAAACACTCCCAACTCCGCTCGCACTGTGCACACACCACACACACACACATACACACACGCAAGGTTCATGTGCATGCACGCACCGCTGCACACTCACAACCTCACATCACTGCACACATCCAGACTCACTCACTCACACTCCAAACTGGACACCCCACTCTGCACACTCTCCAGCCTCCACACACACACACAACCCTAGCCACGTTTTCAACCCTAGCTGAAAACCCAGATCCACTTTTAACCTACTTGATAATCCACGACAGAGCTGATTTAAGCTAACCGTGCCATTCATACACAAGAGAAATAAGCATATCAATGTTTCAAAAGTTGTATGAAAATTTTGTTGTAGTTCAATGTGCTGACATTCTGATAAGTCCTCAGTTATGAAGATGTTTCGTATGCACTAAAAACCTAATAATTTAAAATGAAATTTTGGTTCAGGAGGAAAAAACACACATCCACACCCTCTCTCCCATACACACACTCCATGAACATCCACATTTCTGTCTCACACGCACACACCCTCTGCACTCACTGCAGTCTCTACACAGCCTGTACATTCCGCACACACAGGTTCACAATCAATACATAGATCCACACACAGCCATGTGTACACACTACACACACATCCACACACTCACACACATCCTCCAGTAGGGCACAGTTTGCATCAAATGACTCTCAACCTTCATTACAGCACAAATATGAGGATGATGGAAATGAAACATGAGAAAAAAAACTTCACCCATCATCTCACAACTCTTTCAAATGGCTATTTTCTGTCCTTCTAGGTTTTCTTTTGCTTCTTTTACTTTTCTAAGAATTTGAGCTTTGTTACTCTTGCAGAAAAGAGCTGGGAAACAAGCCTTTTGATTGAATGAGTGATAAATGGTATTTTTCCTTTCTGACGGTGAAGGGCACAATTTGAAATATACACATATTCCTCCACATTTTTATCACACAGTCAGCTCCTCCTCTTGACCTTTCCTGCACACCCACAGTATGTATGGCAGTCATTGTCCACTCCCTCATACAAACTTCTGGCTGACTGCCCAGGACTGATTTGAGGGAAGTAAAAGTGGGAGAGTCATATTCCTTAAAAATTAAAAATATTTTATTTTTAAAGTATAAAAAGCAATAATAGCCTTTCGAGAAAATCTGAATGCTAAAGTAAAAGTGGACATCTCACACCTTCCTACTACAGGAATCCACTCATTCTCCCTGTCATCTCTGTTTGAGCCTCTTCCTTTTCCTCAAATAAATTTGTAATGAATTTTTAGTTTAAAAGTTAAGAAATACAGTTTCAAGTTGAAGTTCATAAAGGACATAAACTGTTTATCTTGTATAAATATGGTGGATAAATTGTACTGCTTTCTGTTTAAAACAATTTTAAGAAAAAGTGTACCAGAATTTGATAGGAACTTCTAATTTGTTAAATCAAGAAAGAGGGACTTCCCTGGTGTTCCTGTGGTTAAGACTCTGTACTTCCACTGTAGGGATCCTGGGATCAATCCCTAGTCAGAGAACTAAGATCTGGCATACCATGTGGTGTGACCAAGAATAATAAAAAAAATTTTTTTAATCAAGAATAACTCAAAACTTTTACCCTGTATTTGGTGTCTATGGATGAGATAGTTTTGACATTGATGAGATAGTTTTGACATGACATTACCTTATAAATAAGATCAATAGGTTTTGTTTCATTAACAGTTTTGATAGAAAGAATGAAAAGAAGTAATATTTTGAGTGCTATAGAGTACTTTGAGTGCTAAGGTGCTTCCTTTATAAGAATGCTATGAGATGGGTGTTATGCCCATTCCATAGTTGGAAAAACTAAGGCTCTGGAAGATGAAGTCATCTGCTTATGAGAGATCAGACTAGAACTTGAAGTCTTTCTGACTCCAAAGCCTGTTTCCTTTCAACAACTGCACTTGCCACTCAGAGTTGTTTTGAGCATCGTCTCTGGCCAGGCTGCTGATGGAATGAATTCTTGTCCAAGTCGCAGGAAAGAATATGCCTGGATACCCTCTGGCATGCCTGGCTCAGCTCACCTTCATGAAGAAGCCCCCAAACAGAGCAAAACTCTCCTACTCACAGCCAGGCACCTCCTTCTAAAACCACCTGCTCCAAAACTTAGCAGGGACCCGCCAGCTCTCACACAGGAACTTGAACCCCTGTAGCCCCATCCCCATATACAAAAACTTTCTCTTCCCTAACAGAAGGGCTCCACACTTGTCAGAGGATTCTCCTTGTTACCACCCTCCCTCCCATCCCCATAGCTCTCTTATGTCTCCTCTCGGTCTGGTCTGCCATAACCCCAGTCCTGACCTAGCAAGGTCACTCCCAGGTCAAGCCCTTTCCTGAACTCTGCCGCTCAGCCATCCCAGCTTTGTTGAGTTCCTTCTGCAATCCCACTCTGCACCACATCCCTCAGCCTGTGATCTGTGTTTCTCTAGACCTTGCTTCTACTTCCGACTCCTCCAGCAGAGTTTCAAATCTTCAAAGCCAGACTCTGAGTCTTATCATATGTCTTTTCTCTTCTTCAAGGGCTAGTTGCAGCTAGAGTTATGGTAGGTGGTCAAAATGTATTAATCATTTATTGAATAGATTCAGGAACTGTGTTCTTTTTATCTATACTGTTAGAAAACCCACCACTCCTCTATAGACACCCACATCACAGAATATAGACATCTGTGTTCATTTCAAATGAGGCCATATTTGTTATCACTGCCATTTACATGAGCACAGACTGTAATGTGTTTGTTCTCGATTTTGCACTGTCCCAGTTTATGTTGCAGCAGGACTTGCTCTAGATAGTACTGTGAAGTGGGTCAGACTGGTTTACTGAAACTTCTCCCTCTTTTTGTAATATATGGTAGACTGGTTAATGTCAACTGGTAAGACACTGTGTCTATTTTATCATTTAGTGCCTTTCTTTTTGAGCAGTAATAAAAAAATTAATATATCTTAATGCTCAACAAGAAAGGCACTTAATGACAAAACAGACACAATGCCTTAACAGTTGACATCAACCAGCCTCCATCATTGGACTCCCCCAGTGCTGGCATGGTGGGCTTGGGGGTGATACAGCCGTGCTGGGAGGGATGAAGATCAGTGAATGGGCCCTAGAGCAGGGGATCCCAATTACCAAGCCTTATCTAGCTACTGTGGCCACTTTATGGCCAATAACAGGCCTTAATACTGAGTGACCAATATGCCGTCATCCCTGGAGGAGGTCACCTGCTCATTTGGTGGCAAATTGACTATACTGGATACATTTCATCCTAGAAAACCAAAGATTTCTTTTGCCAGGAATAGACACATTCCAGCGGTGGGTTTGCCATTCCAGCCTGTGGGGCGTCAGCCAGTACAGCTATCTGGGAGCTTGTGGAGTGTTTGTTGGATTAGTGGACTGGCACAGAATCCAGAGTAATGTTATGTCAAACCCACTTTATAGCAAAAGAGGCGCACTTATGGGCTGAAGACTGTGGCATTCATATTATCCAAAGCTGACAATCACTTGAGTGTGGGGGTTACATAGCTGAAGCACTAATTTGGAGAATGATATTTTAGGAGCATAGGGTACTGTCTTCTAGGACACAATATACAGATTAAGTCAAAGAGCTGTCTGTGGTGCTGTGTCCCATAGGAAGAATATGTGGGGCTGCAAATCAGGCGGTGGGAGCAGGAGTGGCCCCACTTACCATGACTCTCAGTGACCCACTTGTGTTTCCTGTCCCAGCAACTCTAGGCTCAGCCAGTTTACAAGTCCTGGTTTCCAAAAGGGAAAACACGTCCACCAGTGGGCATAGTAATAGTTCCATTGAGCTACAACCTATGGCCATGGCCTGGGCGCTTTAGGATCTTTGTGTCCAGGAGTAGCAGGGAGAAGGGGAGTCACCATCTTGGCAGGTGTAATTGGCCATGATCATTAGGAAGAAGGGGGGCTGCTGCGGAGCAGAGGGAGCAGGGGGAGTTCTTATGGAACCCAGGTGCTTTACTTGGTACCTCTTGATCACTGTTAATGCTAAATGGACCATGGATGAAACTCCAGCCTGAGAAGTACACAGTGATCAGGGTTTGCACTCCTCAGGGATGAGGACCTGGGTTATTCTACCAGGTAAGATGGGCAGATATGCTGGCTGAGGATGAGGAAACTCTGGAACAGATACTCGAGGAGTGAGATGAGAAGCTTTAGTTGTAGTCCTGAGACCAGAGGCGGTAGCTGGGGCTGTGATGTGTCACCCCAGTTATTCGAGTGCTGTTGGCAGCCAACTCTGAGCTGCTCGCCCTTCGGGACTGCCTCAACTGCAGAGAGTCACCTTGCCAAGGTCATGCTGTCTCTTCAGGGCCCACATCTCATGACACTGACATGGGACTTTTAAAGACCCAGGCTTTCTGCCCCTACTCAAGGCTACTCTGACCCAGTGGACTAAGCACTGGGGTCGAAATACAAGCCCCAGAGCCTTCATTCATTGGTCAGATGTCCAGATGTTTTCTGCAGTGTTTGATTTTTCTTTGGATGTCTAGCATTTTTGTACAGCTCTATCAGCTGCCTTGATTTCCAACATACGTTTAAAAAGTCTGGGTTAATAACCGGAAAGTACTCTTATCACTGGGTCGGTAATCTGGCCCTTGGGAATAAGAGCAGCTATTATGGATGGGCCCGGCAGAGGTACGTCCTTAGTGAA